AGTGGTCTCCGCCACCCGTCTCCCTGCAGACCAGGGAGACGGGGAGCAGCTTTTCTCACCCCGGAGGACGGGGGTGGCGGACCGCGGCGCATCTGGGCGTCCCGCCGCTCCCGTCCTCCGGGGCGAGAAAAGCCCTGTTCGTAACTGCGGATCTGACATAAGTCGGATCCGCGTAACTCGGGGACTGCCTGTATTCTCTTTTTAAGTCTCATCTGCAAATATATCTTTTCTCTCTTACATACTTTCCTTCTCTCTTCCATTGAGATGTTTATTATTTAACATCCTCATTCTGCCAGACCTTTCTTGTATGAGTAATACATATTGTGCAGTTCTGTTTAAGTTAAGGGTTTTGTGTAGGGATGTGAACAACTAGTCAACTAGTTACTTCCCCTGCGTCTATCAAAAAAAGACAGCAAGAGGGAGGAAGCGGAGGGGATACTTTAAAGTGACAGTGCTGCATGGAGCCTGGGGCCAGACCCCGGGCTCCATGCGGCTCTGCCACTTTGAAACGCCAAGGGCAGCCTGGGGTCAGCTGGGGTATCCCCAGGCTGCACGCGGCATTTCAAAACAGCCCGGGCTCCATGCGGCGTTTCTGCTTTGAAATGCTGCATGAAGCCTGACGTCAGGCTCCCCATGGCATTTTAAAGAGCCAGTGCCTCATGGAGCCCGGGGTCAGTTCCCCATCTAACCTCGGCCTCCACGCAGCGCTTTCGCCTTTGAAGTGCCTAAGGCTGTTGCTACACTTCAAAGGCGGAGGTGCCCCCATTGACTAATTGAATAGTGGATGCAAAAATGCATTGACTATTCAATTAGTTAATTACTTGATATTTAATATTCCTAGTCTTGTGCTACTTGCAGTATATGTGCAGTGAACAGTAGTGTTTGTAGGTCTTGTCTACATTTGAAATGCTACACAGTGATGGGAAGGATTCTCTCATTGGTGTACTTTATCCACCTCCCTGAGAGCTGATAGCAAGGTCAACAGAAGAATTCTTTCATCCACCTAGTGCTGTCTACAGCAGGGGATAGAACAGCTTAGACACTTCACTCCAAAGTATAAATTTTCCATTCTGTTGAGTGACTTAGATGGATCGACTTAACATTGAGTGTCAACCTGGCCTTTATTGTCTGACCCCAGTCATTTAATATTGGAGTTTAAAAAGTTAATACTCCTATCACATTACAGAGATGATTAGCCACTGACTTGATCAGCTAAGGTTATAATTAATAAGACTTATTGGCGTGAATGTAACAGGGCAGCACTCACCTCCTACAAGTGCCCTCTCTGGCCAGGTACATGTGCCTGCACTTTCTTGTTTAAATGCCTCTTTGGCGACTCAGCCCTCCAGCCAAGTCACATACTGTGTGCAATTGAACAAACTCCTTCCAGGGTGCACCTCTAATACGGGCCCTTTGCAGTGTCCCATGTGTATTCCTCACTCTGAATGACAGTGGAGCCCTCAGGACTTCCCTTCCTGGTGGTAACATCTTTGCCCTCCCTTCCGGGCTTTATTTCCAAGTCTCAGCCAGCCCCTCACCCAGTTTGCAATCCCTTGAGGTCCACACTTCAACTGACTGCTGCTTTGCTTTGCAGCTCCTTTTATAGGGCCTTCACAGCCCCTAATCCATTGCCACTCTAGCCTGCATAAAGGACTTCTTTATAGTCTCTTGGTACAGGGTGTGGCAAAGCCACAAGCCTCCGGAAGGGGCCTCAGGGCCTGGTCCAGCCCATCACAGTAAGAGTTAACATGATCAGGCTCTAACTGAGACTTTCTCTATACTACTATGGGCCATTGACCTAAGTTACACAACTTCAACTACGTGAATAACATAGTATGTTCACAGCAGTAAGTCAGCAGCTGATACTCTCCTGTTGGTATAAAACCCCATTTAATGTTCAACTAGCTAAATGTTTTGTTTGACTGGTTAACTGATTAAAGGGGCAGACTGGCAGCGGGGCCTCTCCAGCCTGGCTGGGGTGTTCTCCCCCCCCCCCAGGCAGGGACTGCTCTGATTGGGATGGAGCAGCCCCTGTCCATGGCACACTCTCTATGGGGCTGTAGCAGCCCTCTGCCTGTGGCAGGGAGGGAGCTGCTCCAGCCCCCACCAGTTAGCTAGTTAAACATTCACATCCCTTCCATCAGCTCTGCCTACTCTTCTCATTTTGGTGGAGTACCAGAGTTGAAGGGAGAGTGTTCGATAGTCAATTTATCGCATCTAGTATGATGCAATAAATTGACTCCTGCTGGATTGATTGTTGCCAGTCAATACTGCGGTTAGTGAAGACATGCTCTGAAACTGTAAACTTATATCTGCAAAGCATGTTGGGGAACAGAACTTGATTTGTCTCCTAGTAAAAACAGTTTTAGTATTGACTTAAATGGGAAAAGAACAGGAACTATGGTTAGTGTGAAATATTCTATTACATGCTGTCATATGAACTGAATTAGAAGTACTGTAAAATATACAACGAAAAAGGGTAACATTTAAAATTCTGCCATTTTATAAAATGAAATATCCAGTATTGGCAGGCACATAGGCTAGATTGCCTAATAAATAATTTCCAACTCTAACTTCTGGGAATTCTCAAAATGTCCACGATATACAAGTAGCATTTTCAGATTTTATATTTCCAGGGGGAAAACAGTGATAAAATCATGTCTGAGGGTTTGCCTACACTGCTTTGCCTGCCTCAGATTATAGGGTATGAGTGCATATCAAAGTGCTGTGCCGTAACTCCCCCATGCTACAGGCATGAATGAAAAGTTTTCTCATTTACCTTAATGTAGTCCTCTTCAAACAGAACTGGGAACCTTTTAGTTCATGCTCACAGCATCCACACATGAGAGTTATAGCACAGGATTTTGGTGTGCACTGCTGTTCACAACCTCTTAGTCTGAACTGCAGGGCATATAGACATGCCCTGAGATTGTACCATCATTGATTCTATAGGAAGCAGGAGTAAGAATGAAGTGTGTGTCTTCCTGTGTATTTCTCCACAGCCCCCTCATTCCTATGAGATAAAAGATGGTCAGGTAAGCTATTAAATTCACAACTGGAATTAGAGGTGTAAGAGTATGCTCATTTAAATGGTATATATGGTTGTGACTATTTTCTTCCACTATTTGATCTGAGGAAGTGGGTCTGGCCCACGAAAGCTCATCATCTAATAAACCATCTTGTTAGTCTTTAAAGTGCTACATTGTCCTGCATTTTGCTCATTTAAATGGGTAACCAGTAAGCATGAGGTTATCAGTTATCCAAACGATTACATGTGGCTCCCAGTCCAGCTGCTGGGAGCTGGCTGCCACCTTGTGCTGCTGCCTCTATACCAGAGGCAGCAGCTGGCTCCTGGGGAGTGGGGCAGCAGGCAGGAGCCAGTACTCACCAAGAGCCGGCTCTTGGCATGTATCAGTTCCTGGGGAGCCCAGTGCATGGTGGCAGGTGGGAGCTGGTATGCATGGGGAGCCAGTTTAAAAGCCGGAGGCTGGGGTGCACCAGCTCCCAGACTGGTAGGGAGTCATCCTTCATATAACCGTGTAACTGCTGAAATTTTCAGCAGTTACATGGTTAGCAAATTACATACATTTTAAAGCCCCTAACTGAAATATGTATGTTGGTCTAGCAACTTATTACATTGTATATTGCCTGTGATTTTGACTTCTCAGCATTTTTCTCAACCAGTGGAAACATGAATCACGCACACAAAACATAATATTGTTTTTGTACAGAATTGTAAAATAAAAATCATTACAATTTCTATTTCTTACATATCTTCTTTTGAAGGCAATGGCATATAGTGTCTTCATGTTCAGTGCTGCACATATATACACTTGTAATTAAAACAAATTGGTGACTACCTTTTTACTATGAATCTAGGATCTGCTCCACCTCCCATTTAAATCTGTGGCAGTTTGTCAGCTCTGGTATGAAAGAATTGGCCCAGTTGTGGTCATACTGCACTAGACTGTGCTTTTTAGGAATTACAATGTCATCAATAAACAAAATAGCCACAAAGATGCATACTGTCATTGTAGAGCTTTGGTAAAATAAAATTCTGATCTATTTTGCTTATATAATTGTTTTTAGCTATTCACAATGATACTATCAGAGCATTATTTTGCAGTTCCTACCCTGTAGTAGATGAGTGATACTGTTTAAAC